ATTTGTGGGTTGTCGGCCTGAAATGAGAATGCCTCGACGAATGTTTGATTTTCTTACGCCAAGGTCCCAACCATGACCTAGAAATTCACTACTTCGTGTCTAAGAGTTCTATGAGAATAAGCGCCCCGAGATTTAACAACTGAGCACTGCGCAGTCGTTATCAAAACCGACGGAATCTGATCATTCGGGTACACTTTTAAGGCTTGACTCGGACATAAGAGCATCATTGTTTAGCCGCGGCAATGGCCCCCCAAACTGTCTGAATAAGACTTGATAGAACCATATGCACCGCCAGGCTTGTGATCGAGAAGCGGCCTGATCCTTGGGAATTTCATTTCTGTGACTCAAAATCAGAGCGTTCCGCTAGTTGATCAGTGGGATAATCATGAGTTACTACGAACCGTCAGTAGCACGGCCTGATGGCCCTGCTCGTCGCAGCCAAGGCACCGGCTAACCAAGACCTAATCCGTGTGCAAAGATTTGTATATAAGTGGGCCCAACAACGTTTCTTACAGTGTTATTGCTATAGTCGTGACAGAGTACTCGGCGAATAAGCGAATCTCTGGAACAGCTTCCGAGGTTGGTCGCAGTATGGGAGAGAACCGTCTCAACGTCCAAAATCTCCCTTTCTCCGAATAGACGCCCCGACTCACATTGCAAAGGTAATTCGCTACGTTCTGAGGGAAACTGGCTGGACCATGATACCATGCCCATCGTATAGCCCTGGCATCCACTCCATCAGGCTACCCTTCTCACAGTGCCTTGGGCAGCAGCGGCGAGAGAAAAAACATGTAACTTAACTACAACGAAGAACGAAACCTTGCTGTGATTCCTAAGCTCATTGCCTCCCCCATCTAGGAGCAAGCATGCCAAAGGGTTTTCCTTGTGCATAAGGATAAGGATAAAGGATAAAGCATTTGCCGTTGATCAATCCCTTTTGGGATGCGGCACGCATTCTACTTCCATTTGTACATTCGTAGTGGCGTTTGAATGCGATGTGGCCTATACAATGACTTGCGGGGGCCAGCCGATGTACAAGTCAGTGTTTTTATCCTCCCAGACAAGTCTGGTACCAATTAACCGACCCCGGAGGGATGGAAGGCTTGGTTGGCCCGGGCGACTCACGACCCAGGATTTGATCCCGGACCGCTCGCGTGGTAAGCGCGCCACTTGTCACTACACCACTTCCGCCCCTGGCATATGGTAATTATGGAAATGGTCATATTTTTATTTGATCAATGATTTTTGAGAAAAGATAAAACTCGATAGAGAAAAGTGTCGAATTCGGACAACCCAATAATTAGAGGCTAATAGTTTTCGTAAAGCATAACGAACAAGGTCATTGCGCAGTGGCAAATGTCGCGATGACAATGACAGTAGTCCGGTGATCGAATCCCTTGCCTAGACCCGTCCAAGTCTTTTCCATGGCGGCCGTGAGAGTGTTGTAGAATGAACCTCTTGCGAAAAGGGTGGCACTGACCTCAAGGCTGGGTTTAGCGCCTCAATGTATAGCCGAAGTGGCTTAAAATGACATTATAATCATTGGGTTGCGATGTTAGCAATTGCGGCGCCTCCTGAAGAGTGGTTGTTAGAAGCCAACCTTCATTCTCCACCATTTGATCTGATCAGAAATATTGCAAAAGAAGCCTCATTTCTGTTGGCAATTTGTATTACCTGGGAAACTTCCCGCCCGAATTTTTTTCAAAGCTTCAGCCAGTCTCACTTGCAAAAGGGTTGTGAGTAGGGCCAAGATGAGGGGGAGATCCCGACAGGGCTGGACTGGGTTTCTGCCGTTTGAATCACCACGAAATTCTGAAACCAACTTATGCACACCTATTATTTTTGAGACCCATTCGTTTTGTTACTTCCGAAAGTATTCACAATAACATCATTATTTGCCATCTGGTGTTCATAACGAAGCTGCACGTCATACGGCTGAGACAGTTATGCCCCCCGAATGGTATGCCTCTTCTACTGTCATAACCGAAAAAAGAACACCCAACTGATTAAGAGAGCTCCAAGTCTTCTGTTTAGTTTCAGGTTTCATAACTTTTTATACCCTACCGTTTTTACCTACGCCTTTTGTACGTGTCTTGCGGACATACTGATTATTCTTTTTGATCAGTAACACCGAATCGATTCCCTGATACATGTGGGCGTTCAGTTCAGGCAAGAGTATTCTAAGCAAGGACCTACAGCACGTGTATAGGATTTTTTAACAAAAGGATAAAGGATAAAGCATTTGCCGTTGATCAATCCCTTTTTGGGATGCGGCACGCATTCTACTTCCATTTGTACATTCGTAGTGGCGTTTGAATGCGATGTGGCCTATACAATGACTTGCGGGGGCCAGCCGATGTTCAAGTCAGTGTTTTTATCCTCCCAGACAAGTCTGGTACCAATTAACCGACCCCGGAGGGATGGAAGGCTTGGTTGGCCCGGGCGACTCACGACCCAGGATTTGATCCCCGGACCGCTCGCGTGGTAAGCGCGCCACTTGTCACTACACCACTTCCGCCCTATATTTCTCTTAGCTAACCACCTCTTATCAAGCCCTGGGATGGTCAGCTGACTTGCACTTGAGAAACTCTCACATGCACTTTTGTCCCTTGATATCTTCTGGGCTACCCAGAAAACACCATTATTATGACTGCTCTTGGCAGAACTTTCTTCAATCGAATTTTCTTCAAGACCGCTCTCTCCCTGTGCATTTGCTAAGGGTTTCTCAGTCCTCGGCGACAGACCTATTGCCGCCAATCGTTTGCGTAGTCGTCGTATCGAATGGCCTCCCTCGCTGTAACTTCTCCTTGACGCGATGGTTTAGAAAAAGTAATAATCAATGTTAAACAGCGCGGCATAGAATCGGCGGCGTCGTCTACGGAGTGCTGCTGCTTAATTTCCGTTGTTGTAATGGCGAAATGGTTGGTGTGCGGTTGCGCGACGTTGTACTTCCTGCTGGGAAGCAGGCAATTTTTCAGAAGCCCACGGCTCCATATGGTCGCTCAAAGGCGCTAAATCTTTCAATTCGGCACGGTTTTTAGTCATCAAGGACAAGGGCACTTGAGTTGAGGGTGTCAGGTTGACTGAACTTATTTGCCTAGAAAAATTCACAACACCGGAAAGAAAAAAAATATCAAAATATACAGTTCCGGGTGGGGTGGATTGGTAAGTGGCGCCGCTAATAACCGCGCAGCTCTCTTGATCACATCTTGTCAAGACATACCACGCCTTCCATCGTTCGGGGGTGGAACTTCACGAGCAGAATGAAGCCCTTACCTCAACAGCGGCTTCTTCTTCTTCTTCTTCTCCCTAGCGTTTTCCCGCACAGTCGCAGGGTCCTCTGTTTTTGTCAGCCGTCGCCATGTTGTTCTATCCAGGGCATCTTCTGCTGTGACCCCCACCTCAGTGAGGTCCTACAGCGGCTGTTCCCCTCAAGTCATTGTACAGGCTGTGTCGCATTCATATGCCGCCACGATTCTGAATGGATATAGAATGCGTGGCTCATCTTGGAAAAAGGTTATTCAGCGACCAGAGCCTAATTTGATTCTGTGGTACTCCACTTCCAAAAATGATTTCAGGAATACGGATCGGGCATTCTGCAAATTTGGTGGTTCGTTCCCTGATGCCACTGAAATAATCAGAGTTGGCTGCGTTATTCTTACGCCGAGAGCGAGCATCCTACAGGACATCTAGAGTCAGAAAATCGTGGTGGTGAAGTGAGAAAAGCGAATTAACTGTTCCTTAGCCAATTCATTTTAATGCGTTTTTCAACCGGAAGAATAGTACACTGACATGTATCGTACGCATTATAATGAGCACAAGCGCTCTGGGTTCGTACTATCTGCGCATGGCTCTGGGAGATTAACAGTGGTGTACACAATTCCGGCTCAATTTGCTTCTAAGCTCGCCGCCGAGGTGAGTAAGCCCGAAACGGTTAGCCGAGTTAGGATGATAATATCCCGGCTGCGGCCAACAAACCTCACTGATCGTATCACTGCTGGCACGATGCCATAACCACCACCATTCCACGGATGTGAATACCCTCTTAGCGGCTTGAACTTGTGCTCGGGCACATTGCGAAACTTTCGCCTTTAGATCCATAATGTTGCAAATGGAGACCTGCAGCAAATGATACTCGCTATTTGAGTCTTCAGTAAACTCTCAAAGAAAAGTGGCGAGGATGTAGGGCGCCAGCGAAGCCTAGTGAGATCACGCAAGTATAAGGGGGACGCACTTGAATAAGCGAAATACGCTCGTGGTCTTTCGCACCGTTTTTTGGGCCTCAGCTAAATGCGATGCGCTTTCTCTGGTCCCTATCGCCGATCTAGTTTCGAGTGCTGGCTCTGCTATCGCGCTTGATAGGAGCGCCCGAGATAGGCAATCTATCAGAGGTCAGTGGGGGTAGGGTTTGTTTAGAGTAACTCTTACCTCTTAACTTTCCCTAAAGGCCCCTAAAGACTGCAGAACTATAGTTCCCACAAGTGTGGGCGTTGTTGTGCCCACAAAGACGTGCGTTTGCCTTTTTGGCAATAAAACGCCTCATTCACCAAATGTTTGAGTGTTTATTGGAATGAAAGCGACGGACTGCCGAGATGATTCACAGCGATGACGGGATGATGATGAATCCTCGATGGGGCTTCCACATCAGCACCACATTCTTACGATACTACCAAGTTATAAGGGGAAATCATTCATGTTGGGTCACCTGGGCACATTTCCCATAGCCTGGCGCAGACTATCAGACTTTGCTGACCCTCCCGACGCTGTTCTATGATCGACCAATTTTCCTTTTCCCGTGATGACCCGATGGAAATGTACCCCGTCGCGTATATCGCCGTCGGTCTGCTGCCGGTGACGAACCACACCCACGATTCGCCCCGCCTCCGTTCTTCCCCATTGCGCGAATTCCACACACGCTTCCATCGCTCTGACCTGCCATTTACTACTGTTCCTGTTGTGCCATCTGTGAGAGACAGAGTTTCTCTCCAGGAAAGCTATTAATGCCGGATCTGTGGTGTTTCAGCAGCGGTCGACTGTCACCGACCGATGCCACTCATCCGAAAAATTCAACCTCGCAACCATTACTTTCATCTGATGACGACGATCGTCGTAGCCTTCGTAGCGACGTGGTGCCACATCGGACTCTCGTCATTCCGAGCTCAATTCCTGGTGGTAAAACGATCGAGATCCCACTTGGATCTGTCAGCCTAACCTCATCACGGCAGGACCTCAGTTCTTCCCGAAATGATCGTGAACGTAGCCCAAAGCCGGAGTCTCAAATGGAAAAGCTCACACAACGGCTCAAGAACCTCGGTGAGTCGCTTTCGTGTTCGTTTTGATTTTCTGTTGTTGTCCAGCGGTTTTTCCTTCTATGGCTCATTCCTCAGCCGGCTCGCTGTTTGCTGTTAGCCCCATTGCGTTCCTTTTAAGGAATGCTGAACACCATCTCTTTCTTTGCTCAACTCGTCTGGTTTTAGGGCTATTTCCTGTTGAATCTGTTTGATCTGGTCAGCGTATTGTTATCGCACGGGCCTGGAATGATAGGCCTATTAAAGGGCCTAAAAGTTACCGGTATCGCGCCGAAAGACCGCGTTATCATTTTGGTGTTCTCTTGTTTGCTCGCCGTCACACACACAATGTGAATGAAACTCGAGTGACAATGACCGGTATCGATTGATGTTATCAACGCCTCCTCATCGGCGACCGATCAATCCGTGGCCATAACATCGGGGATTATCACTAGCGCTCGCGCGATGTGGGGACGTTCCACTGGAGCAATCGTGATGGGGTTAGCGATCGATGGAGGGGGGGGCTCTATACAAGTGGGTGGGCACGCCCAGCTTTTCACGCATGTCAAGTGACTGCCCTCACCCCCCCCCCCCCCTACCCCTAGATTGGCTACACTCCCCCTGGCTCACGAATTCCCCGATTCTCGTGACAGTATAGTAGCGGGCAGCAGTCCCACTACATACATTTCTGTTCAAAAAATGCGGCGTGCCCACCCTACTTGTATAGCACCGGAGAAGGGAGGGGGGGAGTTAGTCTGCGGGCGTGGGTGGGTTCATCTACTCCATGAAGGGAATGTGCTGATTGGCGATGATCCACGAAACATTCCTTCGGCGCTGGACTAGTTCTCCATGCGTTGATGTAGTGGTAGTGATGTCGGTGGATTAACACACTGACTGACGACCGCGTGCACTACCAAAACATCTCGTCCGATCACATCGATTCGCCGGGTTCGGGCTTAGCGCACGAGAATTGCGCGTGCTGACGCAGACCATTGCGGTTTTGGATTGGTTGCATTACTTCTTCTGAGACATTCATCCCACAGATAGAAACCGCCCTAGGTTTCTTATTTGGGAAGATGGCCCTGCCGAACTGCTTCGCCGTGGAAATCAGGCCGGAATCCTACAGGGGATCTTTGCAGTTGAAGGAAGCTTCTCAGAGTTGTCTCGTTTTCAGCTCCCGGCTAGCTTGCTATGTCAGTCTATAGAGCCTTACTGGGGCATGCAGTTTCCTAATACAGGCCATCACCTCAGAGAAGGACACCTGCTGATTAGTTGGCGTAATGAGCTTGATCTAATTCCTAAGCTTAAAGCCTACTTTTACGGCTCCACTCAGCGCAGCTCTGCAGGACCTACGTAGGAGATAGGGCTGAACCGTCTCGCCACATCTGGTGTCTGCTCGCATATAAGAATCACTAGACGTTTTTGTCTTGGGCCACTTAAGCATTGAGTAGGCATTTGTTGGTACTTTAGAGGCCCAGTATGATATCGTTAGGCGTAGCAAGTTGATATAACCCTATACAAAGTGCGAGATGTGATACAGGATCTATTCAAATAAGGCTACTGTAGCGAAACAACCTAAGCCAGGCAAGCTCATAAAAATTCTCCAAACCTCCTATGAACCAAAAAACAAACTCCATAAACCCAGTAGGAACCCTTCACGCCATCGCTAACCACAGACCCATCCTCGAACAACATCTGCTCTTTTCTTGAGCCCTTCTTCACTTCTCAGAGATTCGATAGTCAGTACAAACTCGTAGAATAACGATTCACCTCCGATGGCATGCTGACTAACCAGTTCAGCCGGTGTCGTGGAAACGAGAAAATATCGATAGTAAAGTTTCTCTGTCAATCAGCGTCAACGTTTTTCTTTGGCGGAATGATTCAGCTATTTCTCCATAACGTTATAGCTTTTTAACAAATCAATAGATAAGTGAAATATGAGGTTCAAATCTCAGGAGGGTAATTCGTTCAAGGCCAAATAAATGCATGTGTATCTGCTCAATCAGCAAGAGCCTACGCGACTATTATGTTACTCCTGGGGAGAGTTTTGAGAAGAAAGGAAAGAAATTCTGGAGGGACCCTAAAAAACTCAGGCGAGATGGCGCTTTTTGAATTCCTCTTCAGCGTCTCTTTGGCTCTCGAGATCCAAAATCCACTATAAACTATTCAGAAATCTGGGATCTGGTAGTCTCTTCTTGGAACTTCTAAAGCAGATAGTATAAGGCAGCTACTGGGAAGATGAGCGCCATTTTCTAAGGGCCTAACTGGAATCTGTCTAGCGCTTCTATTTGGAGTGTAAAGCGTCGATGCTTGTAAGGTTGCATGTTCGATTTTCACTGGGTGATCTCATGAATTATTCGTTGGACACTTGCCAATTTCTAAGCCATGGTTTTACAAAAAAGCCTGATTTATTTGGGTATTTTAGAACATTCTTACGCACTTTTATTTCTGAAGGGGTCCTTAGAAATAGCTTAAAGGCTCAGCTCTTAATCCATTGAGCTTCAACTTGGGCGCTAAGACCTTATTAAAAAACCTGATTCAAGGTCCCGACGTTCTAGTGTTGTACTTAAGAGCAGGATTTTAAGGTCTGGACAGTACCCAGCTTTGATCTCAAGTGCTTTTTGTAGGTGGAGCAGACCCACGTAAAGTTCCTTTCACTTCCCGAAGCAGGACAAGCCCATGGCATCGTTCGCAGTCGTTTCGAAGGTCATAGTAGCTTTTCACCCATGAGCTTTCACTTAGGGTCTTCCCAATTCCGTAACCGTATAGGGTTTCGCGAGGGTAACACCTGTCGTCGTCAACGTCGTCGTTGTCATCACCATCACTCAGAAACCAGTTAACCGTATAGCTCAAACGCAGCCGTTGTGTTTTCTGCCGCTCATGCTGTCGTTTTCTCTTTCGTTCATTCATTCATTCATCCGTCGTCGTCGCCGTTCTTACATTTCTTTTCACCCTGTATTTAGCATGGATAGCAATTGGACGAATCTCTGCGTTCGTTCCGACCGGTCAGTCTGGGCCTCACCAGTCTCATTGTCAGAGGAACCAATAATTAGAAGAAAAGTCGCTTTGACGATCCGTGTCCGTGGTTATATCCGTTTGCTTTTTACCATCTCCCCATCTCGCCTTTTCTCTGGAAGCCGATCTCTTCTCACTGGGGAGCCTTCTGAAAGGGTTACGGACTTTCCGCAATCGAAACCCTTATATGAATTTTTATATTAGTACTTGAATGCCTCATCTTCAGCAAAACCGTTCCGAAGCCCCAGCCGTTCGACTGATGAGCGAGACAAGCTACGATGCGCGAGTCCAGCTGACAGCAGTGGAATCTCGGCTGATATTACTGACTCGAATTCCGGTGAAGATACTAAGGTAAGCCAGATATTCAGAGCATCCAGCTCCATCTGAGTTTAGCCACTTGGACGCTTATTTATTTTTGAATTTATTATTTTTGTATTTATAATTTTTCAACTTGATCCAGACAAAAATAAAGTTCATTTGATAAATAGAGCAACTTTCTTGTTAAAATATTCTCATTGAATCTCAATGATTAGCTGTTCGCGTCGTCAGTGATCTCGATAGTAATTTTCTTGGAAAGCGGCTGTGATGAAGTTCCTAATCCTAAATCCTAGCCCAACAATCCTGGTTCCACTTTCGTCATTTTCGATACGGGGTCATTTTTTCGGAATTGGGCAGTATCGGGAATTCCGATCCATGCAAAGCAACCGAAAGGGTATTGTTCGCTCGGACCTTGATTGAGATCGTCAATCCAGCGTACCCGTATTTGGTATTTTGAATAGATTTCAGTGTGGCTCCTTCAGGGAAACACCACTTTTTGTGGGTAGTTCCTTTAACGGAACAAGACCTTTCGTCAAGGACTCATGCATAAAATAGCCAGCTTTCAAAAATCTTTGAGATTGCGCCACACATTTTGCTTTCGCCTGAAAAGTGTAGACCCATTGAAATGCATCCCGTATCCGTACAGTCTACAAAAATTGGCTTATTCGCGAGAGCATTTTAGCGATCCCAGGTTGGCATGGTGCCCTGGTTGATATGGTAGGGGAGAAGCGGGTGGATGGCCCAGAACTCGAGGACCCTATCACGAGCCATACGAAAAGGCGACTCGCCGACTCCCCGCTCAAATATGTAATTTGGCATTTCACGAGCAGCCGTTGCGGTTTTGCAGCTTTGTAAGAATCCAGTTTAAATAAATGCAAATTCTAAGATATTTCTTGACTACTGCAGTACCCCGCAAACCCCACATACGAGGAAGGTTCACATTATATGAGAAACTGCGATCTATACTGCGATCGATACTAATCAATTGTTTTTGAAAACGCCCTGTATCTGACATCATTCGCGGTTTCAGTGGCAATTCTTATGAATTCCCCTCACTTTTCCACCAATATTGATTCTTTCACCTCTTTCCGGTACAAATTTCGCATCATTTGTTTTTTCTGGTGATTATTTAATCCCCGTGTAGAAGGTTCTATGCACTGGAAGATCATCATTCTACTATTTCCTCTCGGACACACTGAACAACGGAAGTGACTCAGAGCCGAGACGAGTGAATAAAGGACAGGGCAAGATGTCAGCGGCCCGCTGAGCACACAGGAAATTCTGCTGCGCTATCATAGCCGCCGATAGTCACGAATTTTTCGGAATTCCCTTCCTCTTCGATGAACTCGTCGGGGTTCAGGGCTAAAGTAGCCATCTGTAAGCAGGGCAATCAGGTGTTGTGTGAGAATGCATGCATTCTCCCAAGCTCAATTCACCGTTTTGTAATGATTATAGTTAATCCACTGATTGAATACTTATTTGATTATACGAATCACTTCAGTTTTTACTCTCGTTTAAAAAACAAATCCTAACAGTACGGTAGACAAAGTTCCGTTCTTTTTTCAATTAACCAAAAAATTCTTGTACAATTAACCTGGCATCGGAAATACAAATTGTTACCGCATTCAATAATAAGTTTAAGCCTCACTTTGCAAGGCTCTCCCCGGATTATGTCCCTGATCTACTTCTTCGGTGAAAAGGCTGAGTTTATAACGACCCGAGAATTTGGCCCTCGTTGTCGCCACTCACAAGCGTCGAGACAGTGCACAGGGCTTACGAATTCGCTCGTAGACACTCATTGCATCATCCCGCGACCGCTTCTTGACACCGTTATAGCAACCCCGAACGCCGTACGTTATGGTGTCTCATCTCGCCTCATTGCTATACTTTCTCATACTGCCGTCTGTCGTCCTCTGCCCTATTCCTAATTTTTTTTGAGTTATCTGTCTTCGGATCCACTACATCGCGAACAAGAAGGGCTTATACGGCTACACGCTTCATTTGTTTCCTTCCTTTTCATTTTTGGCAAGTACGAACTAACGCTTTCACATTCTAGCGTATTTATATTTGACAAGCCGCCTAGTTCTTTTTGGTGTCGTGGACTGTCCGTTTAACCCAATCTCAGCCCATTGTGAAACATTCATTCTACCTATGCTATCTAGCATGACCGCACCTGATTGAGTCACCTGTGCCTACTTATCCCGCATGTGATATTGTTGGAATGGTTGGGTTTGTAATCCTATATTTCATCGGGATTATGCGAGATATTCGTGCCGCACGTTTTACACGCTGATACACCATGTTGTGTTTGTTGGAATCTAGGCAATCCGATGAGTTACTGGGTTAGCAAAGGAACAGCAGGCCAGGCAGCTATCTGCACTCCAGTGGGTAACGGATTTACTTGGTTCAAGATTTGCCGCCAACTGCAGCCTGAGAGTTCAGCCTCTCGAGGTTGACAGCAGTATTGGCCCTGTGATATGGCCTAGTTCTGTCGCGGTCGCGGCATTCAGTTCCGCCATCGAAAGCCCTGAAGCCACAGATATTCGAGTTGCATTGACCGTGGTATGTGGCGGAAGTGGTACACTCGTTTTTTCACATCACATGGTCCAAAAAATCAATTTCCAAGTCTGATTCCACTGAACCAATGAATGTACGATGAATGACCATTTCTATCCATTCGGAATATGTCGCTGGCATAATACCGGGCGAGAAAATGTCGGGGTCTCTGAATAGACCGTGAAAATGGCCCTTAAGGGAGGAAGTTTCACAGCACATGCTGCTTGGGAGAAACAGTATTTCCAGAAGGAGCGAGAGGAGGACTTAGTTGGAGTGTAGAAATCACCGACTCGTCTGATAGCACAAAAAATGACTTCTTTAGTTGCCGTGTAATTGCATAGACTGAATTTCAATCAACTGCGCCTCAATTCTGAACAACTGCGTGACATATCCCAGAAAAATATTGGACTCGGGCCGCTTGACAACTTTAACGATTCTCTACCCTTATCTCATCTACCCAGCATGACTGTACAGGGCCGCCGGGTTCAAGGGGAGAGTCCTATTTTTGTTCTTGTTAACGATGCAAGCTTTGGAGGTCTTACCCCACGAGCTCTCCATTATAGTCGCAGATGTCCCCCTCTGAAAATGTGTGACAAGGGCGCTCGGGCTTTCCTAAGGCCGCTTTTGCCGCTTCCGTTTTTCCCCACACGCAACATGCCGGGAGCGTCTGCGCCATCTCATCCGTTGTGCTCTTTCGCCTATTCTCACTTCTCTGGGCTGAATTTCTCTCTGTCTTAGCCAGTCCAACTCCAGTTACAAGGAATGATTATCCCTTACTTCGATAGTTTCGACGGAGCCTATTCTTTTTTCCTTCGAAACCGCTATACTTCACACCTCTGCACTCATTTTCGTGTGCAAAAATCACACCGATTTGCCTTGGCTTGTGTCTTTAAGTCTTCCCCACTTTTCCTGACACCCTTGCCTTTGTACCACAACCAGTTGCTTCGCACACACTTGCAGGGCAATCCATACTCTGTTCTTGCTGTTAAAATTTCATGCTAGTCGATTTAAAAATTGGATCGCTTATATTGTCGCAAAATTGATGACCTTCACATGGCATATTGTTGTGGAGAAGCCTACCGTTGTAATAAAAAAACGCTGGAGTGTTCCCGTAAAAAAAATGTGTGAAGAAGAATAATTTGCCCAGATGTTTCACAAATGTCAACATACGTCATGAGTAAATATTACGCAGATGTGCCCGAAGAGTTCTTCTTACGCTTGCAAAAACAATCGCTTTGAAATTAGTCATTCTTTTTCAATGATGCAATTCGGTGACTTCGGACTAGGGTTAGGGGAGGGGGAGGGGAGGAGCAGACCTACCTGGGAGCAGGGTCGACCGTCTATCTGGCTGACTCGAATAGGATAGGCGTATTTGATGAAGTCTGACGGGTCCATAATAATCGATATAGAGTCGCAGTGCTGGAAGTCGTAGGAGAAGGATTTTTGGAAATTTTGATTTTTATTTCGCGAAGGTAAAGAACTCGAAAATTTCGGTGAATCACCCTCTCAAATCATTTGTAACACATGAAGACGCATTTCTGTAGTGGTAGTAGGCGGGGCTGGACGAGTGTCAGGATGTACCAGATTCAACGACGTGTCGCACGGTCATTCAAGAGGTAGATGGTGGGCCGGGTGGGACGGGGTGCGTCCCATATCTAACCTAGGATACCCACTAGGCCTGGAGACCTTTGACTCGATGCCTTGAAGTAATGTCAGTGAAAATAGGACATATAATTAAGTAAACTAATAAACACTATATAGATAATAATAAAAATACAGTACAAATATCAATAAAAAACTGATAATAATAAAAATATGAATAAAAGAGATCTCTGTAGTCTTCCAAACGAATATTTCCAGCGAGCCAGCGATCTGTCGTCGCTCTCCAGCGCCGATCCGAACAGCTCGATCTCAGATTCCAGTGAAGAAGCTAAGTGAGTCATAGCATTCTCCACACTGCCACTGTTCAAGTCACATTATACAGCTTTTCAGACTTCAACCACCTGCAATCGTTCGTCACCCCCGCCAGCCGTACCTTACCAGATTGGCACGTGAGAATCCTGTCAGCACCAGCGTACTGCAAACGGTCTTCGATAATATCGAAAGACCCGAGATAAAACGATTTGGAGAGGTTGGGCGTTCGTCTCAAAGGCTTCCAAGAAATATTTGTTTGGTGGTGATTACCCTTTTGACGACAATGCGGGTTTGTAAGTAACGTACTCGTGGGACCACGCCCTTTTTGGCGCGCGCCCGAACCTCGTTGGGCAAAATTGTCTCTAAAAGCAGTTCTTAAAAAAATTTACTCAAGCTTTCACTGAATATGGTTGCTTTCTTAAAATTTTGCAAGACGGAACAATTTTACGATACTCTGACTTTCATGCTAGTTTGTTATTTCAGAATAACAATGGAAAAGAATGGATGAACGTGCCAGTGTCGGTGGAGGAAGATATGCGACGAAATGACTCAACTGGATGGAATCTTATCCCCACCACGGTAACCGCGCCGAAACCGAGACCCGTCCTGTAAGAATTCAACTTTTTTATTCTCCACTGGAAATTTTGAGAACTACTGTATTTTGTTGAGCATACTGTTCAATGATCTTAATTGTATGCAATAGCGACCGTGTTTTGAGGGTGTTTCTATTGAGAGACACGTTCTGATGGGCCGTAACGTGGCGACCTTGGCCAACTCTGATGGTGGATGGCTGGCGCGTTGGAATGATCTGATTTGCTTAAGTGCTCGCAAGATTGCGCATTTCATTTGTGCGTGTCACAGTCGAATTCCGCGCGAAAAACGTCTGAGTGCGAAATTCGCAATCACAGAGTGAAGAAGAGAATGAAAGCGATGCCGAGCGCTGGATCGTAGGGGACATTTTATAGCCCTCCAAATAGCCAATGATCAGTGATGGTTGTGGAACTAATGAGAAATGACAGTAGTCTTATTTCCGCGTGAACCTTAACAGGGAAAGAATCTCGATCATAAGAGTATAGCGTTCAGATGACACTTGCACCATGTGGTATTGTCGACCTCGTTCAGGGGGAAGGGCTCGCTAGCTAATTTCGATTGGCCCTTCTACACTTCTCTTGTGTCTCCAGTGGGGAATAGGGTTACTACAGGCAACCCATCCTGACAAGCTTAATGGGCCACGCTTATGTTTGGGTTATGCGGCGAAAAGTAATTCGCTCTATGACTAAAGGTAAAGATAGGTACTGATCGGGGGGGGAACAGTTTGAGCAGTACATTACGGCTCGATAGTTGCATCCTCTGAACCTTTTGGTAGTAAGTTTTTTTTTTTTTCCCCCCCCCCCCCCCCCCCCCCCTGTGTTATATGTATGTACTTATTTTCAGAGTTTCAATACTTTATTCAGAAGTTCAAATAGAGCAGCCTCAGTGCAGTTAGCTCCATTGAACCTTACAAACCCTAGAATTTTGAAGAGTTCTAACTCAATGTCGTCCGAAATTTGTATGGGTTCTACTTTGGTGTATTAGACCAGGGCTTAGGGAAGCGATTACAATAAAGAAGATACGTCGAGTATAAGCCCCATCACGAAAGCAACTAGTACCTCTGATTGCGAAGGTAGCGGGTGTGGCGCTTTAAGACGAAAATTGCGTCAATTGCTGAGGCAGCTACTTGAAGTCAACCGCTACCCACCCCCCCCGTCCGCCAAAACCGTTCTAACCACCACTTAAGTCTGTGATTTGTCGAGCTTTGTGTCAAGCAGATCTGGAGCAATTCTAATAGAGCATGGTTTGGTACGGTGTCACCCCACAAGCGCAGTCGCGGTAGACTTCGTCCTTACGTCGCCATCTAGTCGCTGCTCGTCTGTGCCGAAAATCAATGGCACACAGGGATCGCGTTTTCTTGACGATTTTTTCGCCCCAGCAATACCACTCAGCACCCCTCACCCTCCAGACCATCGTAAATGCTGCCTTCGCAATCAAAGATTCTCAAAAGCTTAAAACTGCTTTCGCTTTCATCGTAATCCTCCACCCCTAAATAAAGCATCAACATGCCGGGACCAAGCCTGTTTCTCAAGTACTTACCTTCCGAACACAGTCGTGCAGAAATACCTAAGATCCCGCTTATTCCACACAAAAATGTTGTTCGTATTACTTAGCGCGTCGCAACGGCTTCGATGATTGCTCGCAAAGAGAGCGTGTAGACGTACCCTTTTATAAAATTTGCCTCTACAGTGAAAAAAAAGTTTCAAGAAGGAAACCTGCTAAATTGGCCGATTTAGGCCTACTGCGCCGTATTCAACTGTACCCGATGTACCTGGCTTTCAACTACAACTACAACTTCGGATTGGGAACTGTGACCTGTCTGCTATTCTAGCGAAGATCTTTGCAACGGGGGAACTGACGGTTGTCTAAGCAAGTGTTTCTGGGAAGAAAAAAGCAGGTTTGTCTGCATGAAAGCAGAACGGACCACTCCATCTTATTATTACTTTTATTTATTTACTTATTTATTTATTTATTTATTTATTTACTTATTGTTTCCATCAAATACACTCAAATACATCAAAATGCACAAATATTAATTTATTACTCTCCCGTTTTTGCGTGGCTACAGTTCAAATAAACTGCAGCGTTCAAGTTTGAGATCGCTCAGCATGAATGGGCAAAAGGCATTAGGCGATGGCACCTGCATGCCAATAGGTGAGTTAAGCAAAATCTACGTGGCATATCCAGACCATCTTCGTCAATTCGCCTAATAGATACCTATTCTTTCCTACTCACATTTGCGTATTCTCCTAAACAGTGAACTGTACCTGACCGGATCGTGCTAATCTAGGCGTCATTTATCACTGGAGGTTGCTTGTGAAATTTGCCCCTATTACAGCGAGAAAATTTCATAAAAACAGCTGAAACATAGTTGGAATCCTTAGAAAAGCCCCCTTAGCGATGAATGAAACAACTTGTTCCAGAGACGTCAACGAAGAAGCGATTCAGTCGAGGAAGCGAATCGTCTGCACTCAGATGTCGGAGAGTCTCAAAGCTATAGACAACGCTTGTGCGCAAATCAGCAAGGTGAGCTTTCCATCACTCTGGCGAAGATTCCTTTTCTGAAGACTCCTCCTTGCAAGTTAATGTGTAAAGTTCTGTAAAATCAAACGTTGGAGATTGCGCATGTTCTACGTTTTGCAGCCGCATGAGGTTTCAGTGAGATTTTTAGAAATCTTATCGAGCAAATTTAAAGAAAAACCTACTGTATAATGCAAGAGAAACCTCATAAAATGAAACGGAAATGAAAACAAAAGAGAAATTCGGAATCAATCCTAAAATTGGGGCTGTAAGGGCTTACGCTGTTGACGGACTACAGACACATATGGGCTGCATGGGCTTCAAAGTGTTAAATATAAAATTCTGCTTTCTGAAAAGCGCTGCATTTTCCAGGTAACAGCGCCACAACACTGGCGGGCCCCACATCTTCTGCAAACAAGTCTGAACACTCTTCGGGATTCCGTCAGTACTGCGCATGATGCACTCGGAATGTTTGTTGATGGAACCGGAAGAATATCGATTGATCGAAAGAATCCGAAAGCTGAAGGTATTTGAAAAGATGTTCTGGCTCTAATACGTCAATCCTATCCATCCTCTCAGAACTTGACGATCTCCTAAGACCACTAGTGGAGACTCGGAATCATCTGACGCATCTACGAAAGAACCTCGACGCGGCTGGTTGGACGGTATCGGTGCTGTCGCGCGACAGCGAAAGTTCGCGAAGTATGGACTCACTTGAGCAATTCATCGCTGCCGTTCAGAAGGTATGAATCTTCTACAATGCCCAGTGAACTCAACGCACATGTCTGACATTTTAGGTGCCGTCGGATTGTCGACGCCTTTTGCAATGGACGCAACTTCTCATTCCATCTTCGTCGATTGTATTTCTTAGCCCCATCGCTGACACAAAGCCGGAGGTGCTGTGCCCATCAC